ACCGCGGGACGGTTTTATACTGGGCCGTGAAACTGGTTTGTTTTTTACGCCTGATGTTTCTGGAACAAACAGCTGGAAGGCAGTTCAGCACTGCCATCTTTATCCACATGAGGTTAAACTCTGAGAGAACTGAGACCGGACTACAATGTGGTCACCATATCAGGTTTTCACCTCGTTGATCTTTTGAAAGAATTCACTCTGTAACTATAGAAATCAGTCAAATTCACCTTCAACTTTATGTACGGTGTGTTTGGCAGCCCAGTTTAATTCAAAATAAAAGCACAAAAAAGGTGGAGACACAATTATTTCTGATATTTTCACATTTTATTTTTATATAATAATGATCTGATAACCAATTTGGAGTTGAGTGGATTATATGCACCAAATACCTCATTTAAAAAAGTTGAATTAAACAGACGCTGTAAAGCCTGGATTTAAACCAAATGAATAGTTATAGACTGGGTGAACTTTGACCTCCAGAGGTTTAATCCAACTGGAAACAGTCAGCCAGATGATCAAACAGGGCTCGTGCTGAAAAACATTCAGAGATATTAATCCAAAACCAGGGAAAGAGAGCAAAAAGGAGCTTGGCGTTCCCAGTTTAGCCAGGAATATTGTGAAGATGGAGGGTGTTAATTTATCTCGACGGCTCCATTGTGATTGCACAAAGGCAACAAAATACCACATTAATCTGTCAGTGATTAGCACTGAAACAAGGGTTTCATTAAAAGATGTACTTATCTCTTTCAGTAAAAGGCAAAATTAGTCGAGGATGTAAAGGAACAAAAGCGGTTGGATTAGGGAGGAGCAACAAAAAGGATCGTTTCATCATCTGAGCCCGAGCTGACCCACGGCTGTTCCAGCTCTCATTGTCACACACACTCAGTACACTTTGCTGTTTTATAAGAACATTAAAATCAAGTGAGACCATCAGAAAAACGCTGACTTAAACCTTCCTTCATTACTATTTGTCATCTCTTTTATTTGTTATTTGGAAAGTTGATAAATAATGTACAGGAAGCTCCCTCACACTAACGCCTCCTCCACTCACAAACACAAGATTCAATCTAAATACCTTTAATAACACTTGGAAGATTAGATTTAACCCTGTAGATGTTAGTAACTAATGTTAGAGTAATGTGACTGATATTTAACTAAATTAGAGGGGTTTTTTTAGCTGCAGTTGCGCAACACTGAAGGCCAGATGACCAGATCATGATATCTTTAAAATAACTTAATTGAAAATGTGTAAAAAGTACATTTACTGTAATAGTTTGCACAAGTTTGAAGTTAAACATCTTTAAAAAATATAATCTGCAAGAACGATATAGTTTATTTGATTAATTTGACTTATATTTCAGTGTTTAAACCCAGAGAAATGATTCATTTAGTGTAATGGTCAACATTTCCCTTTTACTCCTGTCAGCCACCACGCTGAGGCTGCAGTCACACAACCATAGAGAC